CATTGCTCTGGTGTCCCTTGATAGCATAGGGTACTATTAAGTGATCGTTGCACTGTAACCGTGAATCGCCCTACCCACTGCACAAACCATTATAATTGTGTATTAATAGTAATAATAGAAAAAAATAATTAAATAAAAAAAACTAACAAAAAACTTACGTAATCAACATTGGTCCTCTCAGGAAGACCGTGATGATCCTCAACATTGGGAGTGACGATAGGATGGCTAACTATCCTAAACCATGGTAGGTAGTCAGGTGCACAAGTATGTCCGCCACATGGAACTCTAGTATATCCACCAAGCTGAAGACTGAACGCAGCACCAGGGACAAATCTATCCCACATGAGAGTGGTCATCTGAGCTGAAAAACTGACCCTATAAGACTTCACACTAAGTGGTCTCTGAGCATCATCAGGCCTAATCATGTCACCGGGAATCCCCTGTATAAACCCCAAATGTCGAATAACTCGATCGGGCATACATGGCTCTATGATGCCCCAATAGCGAATACATCCCGTAAACATAGTCTTGGGAACCTGTTGTGCATAAAAAGCTCTGTACGGCTACCGGCATACCTGCAAATTAGTACAAGTGTAAATCAACTGTAAATAAAAGCAATATAAAACAAATGGTAATTACGTATCTATTTATACCTCATGGTCACCCAGCTGGTCAAGTCGAGTACGAAAGGACAAGAGACACTGTTAATGTTTTCGCATCATACCAACATCCCATAACCCTACACGAGCATGAGGGACGTCTCGTGTCAACACATCCTGGTGAGGCCGAAAACATAGAAAGTACTCGTATATCCAAGCCTGTAGAAGAGTTAGACAACCCGGGATAGAATCACATCCATTTCGGGTGGCATGCCCAAGCTGAAGATACAAGTACGCTAGTGTGGCTGAACCCCAGGAGTATCTCGTCAACCTCTCCAAGTTATCCTCCACACACAACTCACTAAGAAAAGAAGGGTGAGTATGGGTACCGCTCTTGTCAGTAAAGAGTATGTTACCCAAAAGGACCCACATGTAACCAATAACCTAAACCCCCTCCAACTGCTCCTCACTACGACACCTAGCAATAATCTGGTCAGTATGGACGCCACCGTTCCTGTAGATGGCGTTCTGAGTCTTGACCTGTAGCTCCTCTGTAGTCAACTGTGACAACCTAGCTACCAATGTCCTATACAAGTCCCTAAGGAAATCAGCGACAACCATATCCCCATCAACCCGAATACCAAGTATGTGGTGTACGTCGTGCAACATGATGGTCATCTCACCAAAAGGTAGGTGGAATGTGTTCGTGTTTGGCTGCCATCTCTCAACAAAAGCAGTAATCAGCAAAAAATCAAGGTGGTCGTGCATAATGCTCGGCAGGTGCGACAACCCAGTTTTCCGTATCCGCGTAGTAGTGCCAGCCGTAAATCACTATAGCCATTCACTCAACTCTCTACACACACAACTCTAGTCTGACACTGCAAAAATTGTCAATCTTCCCCATCCCAAATATATCGAGCAACATGGGCCCCGAAATTAGGAATAAGGCTCCATCCTCGGGCCCACTGTCCATCAGCCCCTGAATAAGCCAAGACGTTGCAGATCGAGGTGGTCGTGAACTCGTAAATCTCCCATCAAGACCTCTCGTCATGACAGTCGGCTGCTCCTCAGCATCAGCCTCACCCTCATCTTCATCATCCTCAGGTCCATCATCCTCGTACCTCGAACCCGAACCCGAGCCAGAAGTCCTCAACAAAGCATTAGGCCAACCACCGGCTCCCTCCCGCTCATCCAAATGAGTACCAGAATCATCCACTACCCTGTCGCGCACCGGTACTGAACTACCGTCCTGTATACTAATCCCCCTATCTCTTCTAATCGACGCGTTAATACCGCGTGATCTAGCATGCCGTGGACCAAAATTCTCGACTACATTCTAAATTTAGAATGAATTTTAATATTAATAATAAAACAAAATATGTGATGCAAATAATTGAAAACAAAAGATATAAAACTAATATTAATAATAAAAATTAATGAGATATAATAATAACTTGTGCTTTTTAATCTAATGAGTTTAATGGCATTGATATAAAACTAACAAGTTACGACCCATTCTTGACTAACTTTTATACTTAAATAATCCTACATTGTATTGCCACAACATACAGTAATCACAGCATTTGCAAGAATGCAAACCATAATTCTAAACAAAACTTTGCACCCAAATTCAAAAAAACAGTTGGATTAAAATAAACCCAATATGCTTAAATTTGTTTCTTTCCAAAAAAATCCAAAACAATAATAAACTCTAATAATAACTACAAGAATAATAATAATAATAATAATAATAATAATAATAATAATAATAATAATAATAATAAACAACAATAACAGTAAAAATCATTTTTAAAAAAAACAAATTTTTTAAAAAAAAATTCAAAACCCAGGAAACGCCTTGTTTTTCAGACAACCTAGGCTCAAATGCCTAGTTTGTTCGAACAACCACACTAGGTGTTTCATCTCAACCGCCCAGTTGTACGAACGACCTAGGCGTTTGAGCCTAGGATGTTCGAAAAAACAGGGCGTTTGAACCCGATTTCAAAAAAAAAAAAAAAACAAACCTTGTCTCCGGCGACCGCCTTCCCCTTGTCCTTCCTCGTCATATCCGCGACTTTGTAGATCGAGAAACCGGAGGTTAAAGGAGACCGTCGACCGTCGTCTTTCCCATGCTACATGGGGTTGATTCAATCCCAGATTTCCCCTTTTTTCTCTCTTTTTGTCCCCCTTTCTCTTTTTCTCTCTTCCCTCAAAATCTCAGCAAAATTACTCAGAAATAAAATCCAAATTTCTACAAAAACCAAAAAAAAAAAAAAAAAAAACCCTTTACCACAAATTTCTAACGCCAATCTCCTCTTTTGTTTCTGCCCATTTATTCATTTGAATTTCCCCCTATTTTTCATAAATTTTACCCCTTTTGGCTTTCAATATTGATCAAGCTAAAGTTTGCAAAATCTGAAGGAGGTTAAAGGAGGTGGTGGTAGTGGTGGGTGGTAAAAGGAGATGGTGGTGGTGGTTTAGAGAGAGAAAAGGGAGTGAGGGTGGGTAAATTATGTTTGGGGGGTAATTTTTTTTTTTTTTTAATATAACGGTAAATTTGTAAGATATATTTTATTTTGCGGGCGTTAGTTAGACATTCGAGAGCAACGTTTAGCTTTTCACTTTTTTTTATGTAATTATGGATTATGCAAAAATAATTTTCGTCTTCTCTTTTAATAATTTTCGGATTTGGCGCCATTAATTTGAATTCATTCAAATTTTTTGGCTTTAAAGGCCTTAATTCGTGTACATGAGAATAATGCATTCTCATTGCTTAAATGTTTATCTTGCTTTATTTTGATTGGCTAGTAAATGTTGGTTTGGTGAAGGATATTCTAGTTGAAATTTTTTTTTTCTTATTTTTCCATTTAAGAAAATAGTAAAGTACTTCCAATCATTGTTTGTACTAAAAACTGCCAATTCCTTAATTCCCGTGAAATTTGAGAAATTGACACATCGTTAAGAGATGGAGGAATTATTTATTAATAAGTTCACCTTTTTTAATAAATAGGAAATAATACAAAGTAACAAGTTTGCTAGACCAGACTCGAAAGTAACCCCACCCGACCCGATCCGAGTTAAAAGGCTAATTTAATTAGACTCGAACATATCCGACCCGAATAGACCCATGTTCCGTCGTGGGTCAACCTAAACTCCATCGATTATCCGAGTTGACACCTCTACTCATATCTTCTCAACATCTCTGCTCTTCTTCTCAACTTTTTGTGTCTTTTTTTTTTTTATGAAATCAAAACCATTTAACTGCCCAAAACCAACCGACCCAAATGAGAACCGAATTGATTAAAAACCAAAAATTAACTCGTACCATATTTTAGTAAACCTGAAACCAAATCGATCCGAATAATATTAAACCGTATAAGAACCGAACCCGTTAACCGAACTGAAATAAAACCAAACCGAAAATGAACCGAACTGTTCTAACCCAAAATTGTTTGAACCGGGATAAAAACCGTTTATACCGAACCGTTAACAAACCACAACCCATCAACACCGAACCCTTTACTACCCAAATCGTTTACAACCCGAACCGAATTAAAACCGCTCAAGAATAAACCGAAACCAAACCCGAACCAAACCGATAATAACTTGAACCAAACCAAAACCGACCCACATGGCACTTGAACCGATCTCAACCGACCCGTTTTAATCAGTCAGAATCTGAAACACACAGGAGAAGAAAGAAATGAATGAAACGTCAAGGATATAAAATAAGGGTAAAAATGTAAATCAATAGGTCTTAGCTACACCTTGGTGCAGGTAGGATAGTTGCACCATGCTCTATAAAGTGAACATTTAGCAAAATAATTATGAACATATAAAAAAAGAAAATGAACATTCAGTAATAAAAAATGAACATATAAAATATTTATTACTAAAAAGTGAACATGTTAAAAAAATCTTATCAAATTGTATATTAAAAATGAATATGATTATCATACAATCATATTATTGCTGAACCACGACCTTAACATGAACATTTAGTAAAAAAAAACTATGGACACGTAAAAAAAATGAACATATAGTAATAAAAAATAAACACTTACAAAATAATGAACATTTAGTAATAAAATGTGAACACGTAAAAAATAAAAATATGAACAATTAGTTTATTAAAAATGAACATTTATCATACAATCATAGAATAACTGGACCATACCTAATAAAATGAACATTTCATAAAAATATATGAACACATTAAATAAAATGAACACGAACAAAAATGAACACGTCAAAAAAAATTAGGAAAATTGTAAACTAATAATCCCACCTTTACCCCGTCTTCCATAAATAATCCCACCTTTTGAAATTTCAGAAACAATCCCACCTTTGACAGGGATCTTCCACTAATGATCCTTTTGACCTACAACCTGTTAAACCGGTTAATAATTTTTTTTCTTAGTCTTTCTCCTTGGACCACCAGCCCACCACCATTCCACCCACGCTACTCATTGACGAGAAATCGTAACAAGTATCAAACAATGCTACTCCCGTTGTTGACTTTAGGTGCGGCGTTAGCCGAGTGAATGCGGTTCGAAGCGAATTGTAGGCTTGAGTTGGTAGCCGAGTTATGGCTATGCCTGAATCAACGATAACCCCGCCCGAACCCGACTCGTCTACATCGAATAATGTTGGTGGGACGGAGATCTGCTGACCACCTACGCTGAACCCACTGAGTCCCACGTAGTAGAAGGTGTTCAGTTTATTGTTCTTGATCAGCGGCGCGGTTACGCAGTCCGCTGGTTTCGCGGAGTTGAACTCGAGTGAAGAGCTTTTGGGGGAGTCACGGTCGACTAAGCAGTAGGAGAACGAGGTAGCCTTGATTTGTGAGGGTAATGAGAGCGGGCCACCACCAAGCCCGAGAAGCCCGGCAGCACCTATGAAGAGTCCTTCGTTGTCGTGACCGCATCCTATTGCTACCTTTGGGATTTTCCCTGAGGTGCCAAACGACACCGTTTCGGTGACGAATTCACCGACGGTGTAGGACCCGTCGCCGTAGGAAACCTGGTAGAGACACGCGCTGTTGCGGCACGCGCTGACCTCGAGGGTGGAACACTCACGTGTTCTGCACGTGAGAGGGGAGTAAGTAGAGGAGGATGAAGGGGTGTAGATTGGGTCGCTTTGCTGGTAGCAGTCGGAGCAAGGTTGACATTGGAGCCAGCTGACGTCACTGCCTGTGTCAATAACCATGAAGTACTCCTTTGAAGGGGAGCCGACACCGACACGTGAGAAGTGCAACATGTTAAAAGTCAACACGTATCTCATAACCTAGTAAAACCGGTTACCAAAATAATTTAACCGGTTATGGATTGTTAGTGGAAGACCCCCGTCAAAGGTGGGATTGTTTCTGGAATTTCAAAAGGTGGGATTATTTATGGAAGATGGAGTAAAGGTGGGATTATTAGTTTACATTTTTCCAAAAAATTATGAACATTTAGTATATTAAAAATGAACATGATTTTCATATATTCATATAAGTTCAAATCCATTGTATAAATTATTAACGAAGAATAAATATAAATAAATCGTTAATATATGTTCATTTTTATGTACTGAATGTTTATTTTTAGTGTACAAAATGTTCATTTTTAAATTACTACGTGTTCATTTCTTTTTACCGAATTATACACAAATTCGATTGTAATTGTTTTAACTCTAAAAATTTGAAAAATCCACATTAAAACTTATCTTGGTTCATCATAGAGAAAATAATTATCAATCTTTAACATGATATATTAGGAATCAAAAGAATACCAAAAAAAAGAGAGAAAGGAGATAGAAAATTACTACAATTAATTGATATTCATCACATACTCCAAATTGACAAAATATACAAAAATTATATATGCAATATCAATCACAAATTCAAAAAATATAACCTAATTAAACTAAATTATAAATCAATAACATAAACTAACCTGAATCAACAATCTTCTCAATACCAATTAAATCCATCACGAAATTACAGAAAATAGAGGAGAGATATGATGTTTAAAGAAGATGACAATGTCAAAAACAGAGGAGAGAGAAATTTTCAAACAAAATTAAGAATTAAGGAAAACATTAGAAAAAGAACGAAACATATCATAAGAATTAAGAAATAAGGTAGGAGGAAGATTGAACAAGGAAGGAGAAGTAATATATAGTACTGGGTATGTGTGTTTTTGTGTATAAATGTTAATGGTGGTGCAACTAGCTTAGATGCACTAGGGTGCATCTAAAAATTTGCCGTATTATAAGGCCTAAACAAGTCATCTTAATTCAATTTAGATTAAGAAACCCCAAAACCCATTAGTATTTAAACTCACCTAATGTTTTTCATTTTTTTAAAAAAATGAATGAATTTATTAATTCACAATTGCTGCTACTACTTCCTTGCCTCTTCCTCCTATTTCGTGAAATTTTTATGGTACAGGCATCTGTACCAAGCTTGGTACAGACAAATAAAAGTGGAAAGAACTTATAGTTGTTTGTAAAGAACATATATATAGTTGTTTTCTTAAGAACATATAACTGTTTTGTAAAGAACATCCACCTTTATATTTTTTTTGTATATCTAAAGAACATTAGTAATATTAATAAAAAAAAATGATAATATTATGTAATGAACATTATTTATATATACCCACCATAATCTAAAGACAAAATCAAAGAACATTCCACAATAAGCAATGAATATTATGTCACAAATAAAAGTACATAACACTGACAATCAAAGAACATAGACAAATGTTCTTTTCACTCTTTTTTGGTGCAAATATGTTCTTTTTACTCTGGGTATATGTTCATTACATTTTAATAGTATGTTCTTTTCACTATATCTATATGTTCATTACATTTGTATAATATGTTCTTTCCGCTTTTTTTGAATGAAACGTCTGTATGATGCACATCGTACAGACGCCTGTAGGAACCACGCATTGTTTCACGCACACAACCAGAAAAAAAAAATAAAAAAATTGGTGCCCCTGCTCCTCACTTTCGGTCGCCTGACCACTGCCCTCACCACCGTCGATCAGCAATCGAACCACCGGTTTTCTTTCTCCTCCTCTTCTATCTTTTCCTTCTTTTTTTTTTTTTTTTTTAAAAGAATCTTTTCCTCTTTTCTTGTTTAGATTAGATTCCTTGAAGGATCAATTTTTCTATATGATTTTATTCCATCAATTTGTTTTATCATTTTTTTGTGTAAAAAGAGGATCTTACTTGTAAAATTTTTTGGAAAATTCTATACGGTAACCTTCAATTTTTGCTACTTCTACTTCTACTTGATAACCCTACCTTTTTTTTAATTTCATAAAATGACCCTAATAAAAAATCTATTCCACTTTATAGCCTAAATGAATGTTTTAACTTAAAACTTTTGGTTCGAAAACTAGCTATGGTTAGAATATTTGTTAAAAAAACACATCCCTTCTCTCTATTCTTCCCCCACCTTACTCCCTACAGCTACCTCCTCCCTCTCTCTCTCCTTTGGTGCGCCGCCACCACCACCACCCAACTTATCCATCACCACAACACTAAAGCAGCAACAAAAATAGCTACAACAACCCACAAAATCCAAAGGCTACAGCTCCCTCTCGCAACTATCTTCCCCGATAATCCAACACCACCAAGGCACCGTCCCAAATTGATTTCAAAGGGGTGGGTGGTGTGAGTCGGATTTTTGAAGGGAGTGGTTGGTTGGGTTCAGATTTTCAAAGGAGGTAGGCGGAGTGTGGGTCGAATTTTTGAAGGGGGTTGATGATATGGGTCGAATTTTCAAAGGAGGTAGGCGGTTTTTGGCTAGCGTGGCTGGATTTGGGTGGAAAGGTGGTGGATTTACAGGTTGAAAGAATGAAAGGTGGTTTTCGATTAGTGGGTGATAATGTTTACGGTTGGAGGGGTGGTTTCGAGCTAGATGGGTGGTTATGTGGTGGGTATTCGGCGGTGAGGTTGGCGATTTTTAGCTAATGAAGGTGGATTTGGGAGTGGCTGGTGCAGATTTTAAAAGCAAGCCATGGTTGGTTTACAGTGGTGGATGGGCGGTTACTGTGTTTGGCGCGGTGGTGGTGGTCCTTATGGAGGTCATAAAGTGTTGTAGGTAGGGGCATATAAGTAACTTTAATCATTAAGGTTGACCATGGTTTGTATTTTTATTAAAATTAACCCAATCTAATATCATATCACTAATAAATAAAGTCGGTCTCTCAGCCAGGTCACGATACAGTGACACTTGACATTTGAGTTTTTCGCCAAGTGTCGTGCCACGTAGGCGACAAATAGATATTATTGTGATACGTATGATGCTAAATAATTGAATTTTGAATAGATTTTGAAGATAAAAATGTTGTATAGAGATTTATTATTGATACACTACTAATATTTTATATATAAAAAATTAATCATAACTTTTAATAAAAATCTAATGACCCAATTCTATTGTCATCATAAAATTCATTTTAAAAAGTTCTTTAAAATAAGATCAATTTATAATATATTTAAAATAATAGAGAATTAGTAAAAATAAGTTTTAATCGGTAAAAATACTTTCATTTTAGTAAAAATAATTTAAGTATGATATCGCATGTCTTAATATATATCCTGCATTATTAAAAGTAATTATATGACCGTATTTAACATTTAAGCCAAAAGGTTTATCCTAAAATTTAATAAACAACCTGGGCATTGCACAGGGCACAAAACTAGTATATATATAAAGGTGAGGTTTTTCCCTAGATTTTAGAGAGCCACGTAGGATTTTAATTTTTAAAAAATTATCAGAGTGCCATGTAGGATTAGTATTTTTTAGAAAGTTACGTATAGGATTATGCCACGTAGGATTATTATTTTAAAGCGCCACATAGGATTAAAATTAAAGGTTTAAATTTATTATAAAAATAAAATACTATCTTTTTAAATTGAAAGTTTTATATAAAAGAAAAAAGAAACAATTTATTTTATTTGTATATATAAAAACAATAAAAATCACATTCAATTGATATTTAAAAAAAATTAGATTAAATAAAAAAAATAATGAAAATAAGACAAGGGATTATAATAAAATATTTTATAAAAATGTACTAATAAAAAAATGAAATCACGTTCAATTATTTAAAGGGGAGTTTTTTTCCCAAGATTTTAGAGAGCCACTTAGAATTTTGATTTTTAAAAAGTTATTAGAGCGCCATGTAGGATTAGTATTTTTAGAGCATTATGTATAGGATTATGCCATGTAGAATTGTTATTTTAGAGTACCATGTAAGATTAAAATTAAAATTATAAATTTATTATAAAATAAAATACTATCTTTTTAAATTAGAAAGTTTATCTCAGAGAAAAGAAACAATTTATTTTATTTCGTATATATAAAAAAATAATACTACTACCTCCATTTGTGAAAGTTTAACTCACTTACTATTCATGTGGTCAAAATAAAATAACTTTGGCCACATTTTATGAGCTATATAATATAAATAAATTAGCATGTGAGATCATATTAGATTCCCCTTATTATAAATAATCCAAATATCAACTTTTTACAAATTTCACTTATACACAACCAGAGTTATTCATGGTCAAAGACGTTTATTGAAGACTAAGCACTTGCAAAATGAGGCGAACTTTCAGGAATGGATGGAGTATTAAACTTAAAAAAAATGAAAAAAAAAAACGTCCAATTGATACTAGATAAACAAAGAACGTTCTTGCTCTCTAACAAAGAAAACAAAAGAGTCCAAAAGGGTTCCTGCTGCCCTTCCCTCTTCTGGAAGGGCGCCTATGCCTGACAGGCCCACCTCAGCAGGCAAGAGCCTAAAAGACCTTGGCCTAAACACAGGGCCGACTGAGGTTGAGACGAGGGAGCCTAAAACTCCCTCAAGCCGGCAGCTTGCTGTAGCGACCGGTTCTAACGCGGTTGGGGGTGGGATGACCCCTCAGCTTGAAAATGAAGGTATGGCTCTCACCTTTGATCCCCCCTGGCCGCTTGGGCCTATGCGAGTCAAGTCCCAAGCTACCCAATTAGGGGATTCTTCGGGCAGCCGACTGAATATAGGTGCCGCCTATGCTTAATACTTAACGAATGAATCTGTTGGTGCAGATTCCTCTTCCCATTGGCCTGACCTCCAACAATATGCCAAGAGGATGCTAAGGACCCTCACCCGGTCCGAAAAGGAGGCGGTGGTTGGGTGTGCACCAGGTCAACATTGACCGCATCAACTCGCTGCTTGCTGAGGTAATTGGCCGGTTGGGGTGCTTTTGTACAATTTACTTTTTTTCCGGTTGTACCATAAATGAGAG